CATCACTGTGTCGTGTGTATCAGACCCACACACCTACTGTGTCATGTGTACAGTACCCACACACCCTACTGTGTCATGTGTACAGTACCCACACACTCCACTGGTGTCATGTGTGTACAGCACCCACACACCCCACTGTGTCATGTGTGTACAGTACCTACACACTCTACTGTGTCATGTGTACAGCACCTACACCTACTGTGTCATGTGTGTACAGCACCCACACACCTACTGTGTCATGTGTGTGACAGTACCCACACTCTACTGTGTCGTGTGTGCACAGTACCCACACACTCCACTGTGTCATGTGTACAGCACCTACACACCTACTGTGTCATGGTACAGTACCCACACCTACTGTGTCATGTGTGTACAGTACCTACACACCTACTGTGTCATGTGTGTACAGTACCCACACACTCTACTGTGTCATGTGTGTACAGTACCTACACACTCTCTGTGTCATGTGTGTACCTACACACTCTCTGTCATGTGTCTACAGTACCTACACCCACTGTGTCGTGTGTGGCAGTCCTACACACTCCTACTGTGTCATGTGTGTACAGTACCACACACACTCTACTGTGTCGTGTGTACGTACCTACACACTCTACTGTGTCATGTGTGTACAGTCCCTACCTCTCTGTGTCGTGTGTGTCTACCTCTCTGTGTCTGTACAGTACCTACACACTCTACTGTGTCGTGTGTGTACAGTACCTACACCTCTCTGTGTTGTGTGTGCCTACACACTCTACTGTGTCGTGTGTGTACAGTACCTACACACTCTGTGTCGTGTGTGTACAGTACCTACACACTCTACTGTGTCATGTGTAAGTGCCTACACACCTCTACTGTGTCGTGTGTACAGTCCTCTCTCTTGTCATGTGTGCAAGTCCTACACTCTACTGTGTCATGTGTGTGCAGTACCCTCACACTCTACTGTGTCGTGTGTGTACAGTCCCTACACACTCTACTGTGTCATGTGTGCAGTACCTACACACTCTCTGTGTGTCATGTGTGTGTGCAGTCCCTACACTCTACTGTGTCATGTGTGCAGTGTACACACTCTACTGTGTCATGTGTGTACTGTACACACTCCTACTGTGTCATGTGTGTACAGTACCTACACCTCTACTGTGTCGTGTGTGTCACAGTCACACTCTCTCTGTCATGTGTGTGCAGTACCTACACTCTACTGTGATGTGTGTGCAGTACCTACACTCTACCATGTGTGTACGTACCTCCCTCTGTGTCATGTGTGTGCAATGCCTACACACTCTACTGTGTCATGTGTGTACAGTACACCACACCTACTGTGTCGTGTGTGTGCAGTACCCACACTCTACTGTGTCATGTGTGTGCAATTCACTCTACTGTGTCATGTGTGTACATCTCCTGTATCGTGTGTGTACAGTCCCTACACACACACTCTACTGTGTCATGTGTGTACAGTACCTACACTCTTTCTACTGTGTCATGTGTGTACAGTACCTACACACTCTACTGTGTCATGTGTGCAGTACCTACACACTCTACTGTGTGTGTGTGCAGTACCTACACACACTCTACTTTACTTTATGTAAGTTATTCGTTCAAGTAATCTTTTTGGCTTTAATAACATTTTTGTAGGTTTTGTTATTTTGTTACATTTTGGTTAGATTTTATACTTACATAAACTTTTACAAGTTTTGCTGTAAAATATTTGTATCTATGCTTGTTTACCCAGTGTGTGTGTGTGTCTCTTGCCATATACAGTATATTATATTCTACCTCTGACTCACATATATATATATATATATATATATATCTTGATAAAATCAAGATTTATCTTATCCACGTTTTCATTGTGGATTGACTATATATATATATATATATATATATATATATATATATATATATATATATATATATATATATATATATATAATATATATATGTATATATATATATGTATATATAGTGGCATCCTCACTGTGAGCACAATACAGTTTCCAACGTTTGTTTTTTTATAAAAATTTTGGTCGGTCAGCAGGAACTCTTTTGGTGTCTTTGTTTTAACGAGAGTCACAAAGCGCATAAAAGTTTAGGTCATATTTTTCGTCTCAATTGATTTGTGTGTGTGTGTATTGTTGCAATCACACACACACACACACGCTCTGCCTGCGCGCAGAGGTAAAACATAAATGAATTTAGTTATTTCCAATAGCAACGTGTAACACCTTTGTGACGTCACGAGGGTAACATTAAGGCAGAGGTAAATTGTGTTTATGTCTCTATATACTGTACGCAACTGTAAACATGGAGACAGTGGGTGGCTCCTCCGTGACGTCACGAAGGTAAATATGCAAGAGCCAACAGCTGCGTCAAGTTTCACCATGACGTCACGGGAACTGAGACAACAGTGACCTCTGGCTACCCTGGGCCGAGGACAGATTCAGTGTCAGAGTCTATGGCATCAGAGAGACAGAGCCAGTAAAGGCATCCAGCACATATGTTGCCAGTAGCAACGTCTTTTTTCGCCATGACGGCACGGAGCCCAAACCAATAGCAACGCCTAGACATCCGTGACGTCACATGGGTACACACGAGGCCAGAGCCAATAGCAGCGTCTTTCTCACGAAAACGTCACGGAGCCAGAACCAATAGCAACGCCTACCACATTCATGACGTCACACAAGTAAACATGGGGTCAGATTCATTGGCAGCGTGTCTGTGCATGACGTCACAAACAGAACCAATAGCAGCTTCCTGCAGACTCATGACGTCACGCAGGTAAACACGGGGTAGAGTCAACCTCGTGAGCAATTCAATTTTTTTATAGTCGACAAAAATACATGAACCCTAAAATATGGCGCTGCGGGGCTTCATCAAGGGCGCCTCACACAAATACAAAAATACCGAAGGTTCTGTGAAAACTTTGAAATTGTCGTGCCACTCACCGGGAGAGAGAGAGAGAGAGAGGGGGGGGAGGCGTGCCTGTGTGTGTGTGCGTGTGTGTGTATACCTTAATGCTTACACACACACGCACACACACACACACACGCACGACGCACGCACACACACACACACACGCACACACACACACACACACACACACACACGCACGCACACACACACACACACACACGCACACCACACACACACACACACACACACACACACAGACACACACACACACACCTACACTACACTGGACAAACACTCGTTAAAGAGTATAAACTGTGAACTACACCGCCACAGAGCTAAACTTCCCCATTAGGTGCTGATATGTGTGTAGCCACTCTGTTCTCCTGGTCCAAATCATACACGGACACCAGCCAGACATGAAGTTTTCTTATCGTCGATGTCATTGACTTAGATTAAATTAAGTTAGAGTAAGGTTAGGTTAGTTAGGTTAGAGTAAGGTTTGGTTAGGTTAGGTTAGGTTAGGTTAGGTTAGATTTAGGTTAGGTTAGGTTAGGTTAGGTGATGCCAAGAATGTAATATAACAAGATACTTTTCTTTAATATATTTGTTTTATTTCAGACTGAGAGAGAGAGAGAGAGAGAGAGAGAGGCATTTACCACAAAAACGAGAAGAAAAATATTAATAATGTTTATTTTAAATCTCCCTAAAATGAAACTCTTAATTAAACCCCAAATAAATCCCGAATTAAACTTTAAATTAAACTCCCAAAAAGAATCCCAATGTGTATAAACAACCTGACATGACTCTTCCCTATTCTCCCCCCTCCTTACCCTCACCCTCCCTCCCTACTCTCATCCACCCTCCCCACCTCATCTACCCTCCCTACCTCATCCATCCCTCCCTCCTCATCCCACTACTATCTCATCCCCCCTCCCCCTCCTTACCTCACCCCTCCTCCTCCCTACCTCATCCACCCTCCCACCTCATCTACCTCCCTTACCTCATCCACCCTCCCTACCTCATCCACCCTCCCTCCCCATCCACCCTCCCTACCTCATCCACCCCTCCCCACCCTCATCCACCCCCTCCCCACCTCATCCCCTCCCTTCCTCATCCCCTCCCACTTCTCATCCCCTCCCCTCCCTCAATCCCCTCCCAATCCTCATCCCCCTCCCACTCCCTCATCCCTCCCACCCTCATCCCCCTCCCACCTCATCCCTCCTCCCACCCTCATCCCCCTCCCACTCTCATCCCACTACCCCCTCTCCCATTCCTTCCCTCACTCCCTCTCACCTCCTTTCTCCCCAACCCTCTCCCTCCTTCCCTTAATCATCTTCGCCGTTTCCTTCCCCTTCCCTCCTCCTTCCCCCTCTTACTTAAGCTAATGACATGGTTGAATAGCTGAGGGAAGGAACGAGCATCTGTGATTGGTTGAGGCGAAGAGAGAGAGAGAGAGAGAGAGAGAGAGAGAGAGAGAGAGAGAGAGAGAGAGAGAGAGAGAGAGAGGCCCCCAACGCCCTGAGTCTGCCATTGTCCCAGCCTCTTAGTTCCCACCTTGGCCCGGCTTTGTATTTGGGGGGGGGAGGAGGGTTGTTATATGGTTATTTTGTTTTCTTTGCTTGGGGAAGGGAGGGGTGAGGTAGGGGAGGGGAGGGTGAGGTAGGGGAGGGAGGGTGAGGGTAGGGGAGGGGAGGGTGGAGGAGGATAAGGGAGGGTGAGGTAGGGGAGAGTAGGGGTGAGGTAGGGGAGAGTAGGTAGTGGGGCTGGCTTATTTTTCCTGTGCATCGGGTGGTAGGGAGATGGAGTGGGGGTGAAGGGAGGGGTAGATGGAAGGACTGAGGAATGGAGGGAGAGGGAAGGGAGTAAATGGAAGGGATGGGTAAGATGGAAGGAGGGAAGGGTGAGGTGAGGTGGAAAGGAAGGAAGAACGAGGGAGGAAGAGTAATGACTATGCCAACACCTTCACCTGTCGTAAGAACTAGCTCTCTCTCTCCTATCCCATGTTTTCAGACACCCTTACTCCCTCTCCTCCCTCAACCCCCCCACCCCTTCAAAGAAAAGGTCAAAACTGGAAGGTCAAAGGTCACACTCACCTGGGTCAATACTCCCCTGTCGTGGGGTGGTCCAGGGGCTCAGGGTGACTATTTCAGTAAAGACGTTGGATTTTCCTTCATTACCAGAGATGGGGTCAGAAATTACCTACAAAGATGGGGTCAGAAATTACCTTACAGAGATGGGGTCAGAAATTACCTTACAGAGATGGGGGAAATTACCTTAAAGAGATGGGGTCAGAAATTACCTTACAGAGATGGGGTCAGAAATTTCCTTAAAGAGATGGGGTCAGAAATACCTTACAGAGATGGGGTCCAGAAATTACCTTACAGAGACGGGGTCAGAAATTATGTTCACCTAACGATAAAATTAATGTTCAGAATTGTTCATAAGACTCTGAACATTAGTAAAGGAGAGAGTATAGTGAGTATTTCTGTCAATCTATCTCTGTCTATGTCTGTCTGTCTGTCTGTCTGTCTTTGTCTTTCTATATCTCTTTAAATGTCTCTCTCTCTCTCTCTCTCATTACCACTTGACAGTCATTTTCACAATTCATTTCCACAAGACTCCAGCCTCAGCCAGCCAGCCAGCCAGCCAGCCAGTCAGCCAGCCAGCCACCTAGTCAGCCAGCCAGTGGATCTCTTTTAATAATTAATTATAACGTCCACACACCCACTTATTACCACGCCTCATGAATTACTTATAAGGTGTGTGTGTGTGCGTGTGTGTGTGTGTGTGTGTGTGTGTGTGCGTGTGTTTTGGTTAGGTTGTTTTTGTACATTAGAATTGTTTGTTTATTTTCAATTTCAATGTTTGTGCATTTTTTTTTAGTATGTTTATTTTTTTTTTATAATTTCAATTGTTTTATTGTGGGTTTTTTTGTTTTTGTTTTTTTTTTTTTTTTTCATTTTTCAGGGAAATAACCAACTTGGTCTCAGCGCCGTACGACAGTGTGCTGTAATTCTCGCATCAGGGCTGGCGGGCGTATGATGCATCCAGAAACCTCCCCTTAAACGCCATTTCTTATATTTACCCCTTAGAACCACTCTGGGGAACCATCACCCCTATAGACTAAGTGTGTAAAGATGGGATGAATCTCTGGGGGCAGTAAGAGCACAGAGATGACAGACAGACAGACAGACAGACAGACAGACAGACAGACAGGAAAATTTTACCCCATACCGCTATCACCCAATTTATTCTCCTCCTCATTCCTCCCCTTCCCCCCTTTCCTCCCCTCCCTGTTCCTCCCCCTTCCCCTTTTCTCCTTCCTTCTCATTTTCCTTCCCCTACTCCCCTTCCTTCCTCCTCTTTCTCTTCCACACACACACACACACACACACACACACACACACACACCTAAGTCCGTTCAGGTAACTGGTATCTGGTGCCTCCTCCTCCTTCCCTTCCTCCTCCTCGCCCCTGCTAACTAAGGAATGTTATAGGGGATTCTACTATAAATGTGCTGGAATACTGAATAAATCGACTTGGGGAGGGGGTGGGGAGATAGGGTGGGTGGGGAGTAGGTGGGGTGGGGGAGATAGGGAGGGGAGATGATGGGTGGGAGATGGGTGGGGAGATAGGGGTGGGGTGGGGATAGGGAGGGGGAGTATGATGGGGTGGGGAGATAGGTGGGGTGTGGGGGAGATGGGTGGGGTAGGGTGGGGGAGGGGATGGGGTGGAGAGGAGAAAAACATGGGGAGATTAGGATGGGATGGGAGGATATACCTAAGGGAGAAAGATAGGGTGGGGTGAGAGGGAGTTAGGGGGTGGGGTGGGGGTGGGTGGGGGGTGGAGGATACTGGGGAGAAAGTTAGAATAGGTGGGAGGAGAAAGACTTGGGGAGAGACAGACTGAGTTGGAGATACAACTCATTATTCAGTCCACTCCAGACAAACTCACCCCACGTGGCACTGATCAGTCAAGGTGACCTGTCCTCCCTCAAGGTCAGAGGTCAAGTAGACCATCTGTCTTCCTCTAAGGTCAAAGGTTAACTAAATTCACCTTCGTCCTCTAAAAAGGTCAGAGGTGAAAAGTCCACCTCACCCCCCTGCGTCTCCTTGTGTTCCTGTCTCTGATTCTCTCTCTCTAAATCTCTGCCTCTATCTATCTATCTATCTATCTGGTTGTCTCTGTCTCTGTTCTATCTCTTTCTATCTTCCCTAGCCCTTTTCAACGCCTCTCTCTCTACCTCCCTCCCATTTGCCGTCAATCCCATTAAATCCCCTTAACGACCTTCCATTGTTTTCCTCTCTAATTAGTGAATGGCGTCAACTTAAACTGTAGCCAGGGGAAAAAATCAACTCTCAAGGAAGACAGACAGATGTTGAACGTTATCTCAAATGTTTCAAGATTATTATCGAGTCTCCCCTTTCCCCTGGCATTGTCCCTGTTTTCTATCATTGTGTCCTGTTTTCGTTGTTGTGGCCTGTTTTCGTTGTTGTGGCCTGTTTTCTGTTGTTGTGGCCTGTTTTCTGTTGTTGTGGCTTTGTTTTCTGTTGTTGTGGCCTGTTTTCTGTTGTTGTGGCCCGTTTTCTGTTGTTGTGGCCGGTTTCTGTTGTTGTGGCCTGTTTTCTGTTGTTGTGTCCTGTTTTCTGTTGTTGTGTCCTGTTTTCTTTTGTTGTGTCCTGTTTTCTGTTGTTGTGTCCTGTTTTCTGTTGTTATGGCCTGTTTTTTGTTGTTGTGGCCTGTTTTCTGTTGTTGTGTCCCGTTTTCTGTTGTTTTGTCCTGTTTTCGTTGTTGTGTCCTGTTTTCTGTTGTTGTGTCCGTTTTCTGTTGTTGTGTCCTGTTTTCTGTTGTTGTGGCCTGTTTTCTGTTGTTGTGGCCAGTTTTCTGTTGTTGTGTCCCGTTTTCTGTTGTGTCCTGTTTTCTGTTGTTGTGTCCTGTTTTCTGTTGTTGTGCCAGTTTTCGTTGTTGTGGCCTGTTTTCTGTCAATGTGTCCTGTTTTCTGTGGACTTAATAATTTTGAAAGATTTAGAGTTTTGAGAGATAATAATAATGTTTCATTTAGAGAAATAGTTATTGCTTATTATGAGAAATATTTTGAGCCTATTTTAAAAGTAATGGGTCTTATGCCTATTTTATAGACAGTTTATCTCGGCTTGCCTATTTATCAACAATTTCTATGCAGTACCTATTTTATGGATAATTTCTTCTATCCCTCACCTATTTCTGAACAATTTCTCTATGTAGTACCTATTTTAAAGACAATTTCATTCGTCACACACCTATTTCTCAACAATTCTCTATGTAGTACCTATTTTAAAGACAATTTCATTCGTCACACACCTATTTCTCAACAATTTCTATGTAGTACCTTATTTTAAAGGACAATTTCATTTGTCACACACCTATTTCTCAACAATTCTATGCAGTACCTATTTTAAAGACAATTTCATTCATCACACACCTATTTCTCAACAATTTCTCTATGCAGTACCTATTTTAAAGACAATTTCATCTTCGTCACACACCTATTTCTCAACAATTTCTTTTATGCAGTACCTATTTTAAAGACAATTTCATCTGTCACACACCTATTTCAACAATTTCTATGCAGTACCTATTTTAAAGACAATTTCATTCATCACACACCTATTTCTTAACAATTTATCAATTTTTTTAACTAACTCTGAAACATACGACTAAATGTTCCTAAAATCATCGTCACTATTTCACATATGTTTGGTCCATTAGCCACCAGTTATTTCCTCCTGTCTCGAACGGAAATTGTAGTTTGTGATCGTTTCTAAAATTGATTTCCCATTGGACAGAAGAGCGGCGATCATCAATATTGTTCATCCAATTACAATTCAGCTTCAGTTTTGGTTTCTGATTGAGTTTCAAACGTTTACGATCTCTCTCGACCAATGGGGTTGAAGTATTGATGTTGCTTGTCTCTGTTTGACAAAGGTTGTAGTATATGGGTGTTGTATGTCTCTACTCGACCAATCAGGATTAAGTATGGCTATTGCTTGTCTCTACTTGACCAATCAGGATTAAGTATGGCTATTGCTTGTCTCTACTCGACCAATCAGGTTAACACTTTAGATGCAGCGTCTCTCTAATTGACCAGTTATGTTGCGTTTTAGTTATTGGTGTCCCTAGTCAACCAGTCATATTACAGTACAGCGATTTATCTGACCAATCATACTGAAGTGCTGCTATGGTCATTCCCTCGTTAACCAATCAGGTAGCAGCATGGTAAGATAAGGTCTCCTTCGTTAACCAATCATGTAGCAATATGACTATAGGTTCACTCGTCGACCAATCAGGATGCGAGTTTCCTTCTTCCCTGAACCCATCTTATTATCCACGTCGTCTTCTTATTATTCTTATTTATCACCTCCTCCTCCTCCTCCCTTCCTTCCTTCCTCCCTCCTCCTCCTCCTCCTGGGGAATAACTGACAATCTGGGCTTCATTATAAACATACCCTGAGGTGATTATCATGCTTATTGACTTATATTGTAATCCCTAATCACCAATCAAAGCTGCTGGGGGGGGGTGGAGGGTGAAAGATGAGAGGAGGAGGAGGAGGAAAGAGGGAGGAGAGAAGGGGAGGAAGATGGAAGAGAGAGAGAGGAAGAATATGGAGATGGTGGAAGAGGAGGGGAGGGGGGGATGGAGGGGAGGTGGAAAGGAGAAATGAAGGGGGAAAAGAAGAGGAGAAAATATTCAAGGTAATTAGGGGGGGGAGGAAGAGTGGATAAAGGAAATATGAGAAGAAGAAAAAGCAGAAGAGGGGGAAGAGGTAATGAAAGAGGAGAAAATAGGGAGGGGAGAATAGGAGAAAGGAAGATGGAAAGGAGAGAGAAGAGAATAAGTATGAAAAGGAGATGAAATGTGTTTTTAGGAGAAAGGAAAGAAATGGAGAATAAGGAGAGAGAGAGAGAGAGAGAGAGAGAGAGAGAGAGAGAGAGAGAGAGAGAGAGAGAGAGAGGGTTAAATTCTAAAAGAGACGAAATAAAGGAAAAGACAAGAATGAGAGGGTAGTGTTCAGCGGTAATGGGACGGAAGGAGGAAGGAAGGAAGGACAGGAGAATAGGAGATAACGAAGGGGAAAAAGAGGAGATGAAAGAAGAAACGAGGTGGAAAGAATAACAAGGAGAGGATTAAACAAGGGTGAGGGAGAGGGAGATGGATAAAGTGAGGAATGGAATAAATATGAAAATGGAAGGAGAGATGAATAAGGGAGGGAGGGAAGAGTTATATAATGAAGGGAGGAGGAAGAGGATGAGGAAGAGGAAGAGGGAGGAAGAGGAGGAGGAAGAGGAGGAGGATTAAGATAAGAGGTTGATCAATGAATAAATCAACGAATCAATCAAAGAATCAATCAACTAATCAAACAATCAATCAATCAATAATCAATCAATCGTATCTGAGGGTTGTCGACCACAGTCCTCCTCAGGCTGTTTCTAAGGTCTTGTACCTCCGGGGCCCTAGCCTGCCCTTTCCCCTGGCCCTCAACTTTGTCCATTAGTGTTTCTCTTTATTGTCTCTCATCCATGATTATAACCAGACATTATAACCAGACATTATAACCAGACATTATAAAACAGACATTATAATCCAGACATTATAATCCAGACATTATAACCAGACATTATAAATCAAGACATTATAACAGACATTATAACCAGACATTATAACCAGACACTATAACCAGACATTATAACCAGCCACTATAACCAGACATTATAACCAGACATTATAACCAGACATTATAACCAGACACTATAACCAGACATTATAACCAGCCACTATAACCAGACATTATAACCAGACATTATAACCAGACACTATAACCAGACACTATAACCAGACATTATAACCGGACATTATATACCAGACATTATAACCAGACGATTAATTAAAAGCAATAGAAAGTTTGGATGGTATGGTAGGTAGAGGGTCGTTCATCTCATATGAGTATCATTAAAGATAATTTAAAACACCAAAGGATACAAGTCTAGAATTCAGAAGGTAAAAGATAAGCAAGGAAGAGTGGAAGAAGAGAGGAAGATAAGCAAGGAAGAACGGAGGAAGAGAGGAATATACAAAGAACGTGGTAAGAGAGATATATGTTGAGCAAAGAAAGCTTATAAAAGAAGAGGAAGATAAGAAGGAGAAGAGAAAAGATAAAATAAAAGAACGGAGAAAGAGAAAGGGAAGTAAAGGAAGAAATGAAAGATAAGCTACAAAGAAAGAACGGAAGAAAGATAAACAAGGAAGAAACGGGATAGAGAAAGGCGACAAGAAAAAAATCAGAACAAGAAGAAGAAGAAGGAAGAGAGGATATAAAGGTGGAGAAGGGTAGATAAGAAGGAGGAGGAGGAGGAGAGATAAAGAAAGAAAAGGAAAGAGCGAGAGTAAGCAGGTGGAGAAGATAGGTAGAGAGAGAGACAACAAAGAGAGACAAAGGAGAAAAACAGAGAGAGGGAGAGAGGGAGAGAGGAGGGAGAGAGAGAGAGAGAGAGAGAGAACCCTCATCACCATTTTCCGGTACATTAACATAAGGCGAGTGAGGGACGGACCTAACTGTGTGTGAGGAGGGGATGGACCTAACTGTGTGTGAGGGGACGGACCTAACTGTGTGTGAGGGGACGGACCTAATGTGTGTGAGGGGATGGACCTAACTGTGTGTGAGGGGAGGACCAATCTGTGGAGGGGATGGACCTAACTGTGTGTGAGGGGACGGACCTAACTGTGTGTGTGAGGGGATGGACCTACTGTGTGTGGGGACGGACCTAACTGTGTGTGAGGGGATGGACCTAACTGTGTGTGGGGACGGACCTAACTGTGTGTGAGGGGACGGACCTAACTGTGTGAGGGGACGGACCTAACTGTGTGTGAGGGGACGACCTAACTGTGTGTGTGTGTGGGGACGGACCTAACTGTGTGTGAGGGACGGACCTAACTGTGTGTGAGGGGACGGACCTAACTGTGTGTGTGAGAGGGACGGACCTAACTGTGTGTGAGGGGATGGACCTAACTGTGTGTGTGAGGGGACGACCTAACTGGTGTGTGAGGGGACGGACCTAACTGTGTGAGGGGACGGACCTAACTGTGTGTGAGGGGGATGGACCTAACTGTGTGTGGAGGGGACGGACCTAACTGTGTGTGTGTGTGAGGGACGGACCTAACTGTGTGTGAGGGGACGGACCTAACTGTGTGTGTGTGTGAGGACTGACCAACTGTGTGTGAGGGGACGGACCTAACTGTGTGGAGGGGACGTGACCTAACTGTGTGTGAGGGATGGACCTAATCTGTGTGTGAGGGACGGACCTAACTGTGTGTGAGGGGATGGGACCTAACTGTGTGTGAGGGGACTTGACCTAACTGTGCTGACTGTGTGGAGGATGGACCTAACTGTGTGTGAGGGGACGGACCTAACTGTGTGGGGGACGGACCTAACTGTGTGTGAGGGGACGGACCTAACTGTGTGAGGGGATGGACCTAACTGTGTGTAGGACGGACCTAACTGTGTGTGTGTGAGGGAGCAATACGTAACTGAACGAAGTACAATGAT